AAACCCCTTAAGTTATTCCATGTAAACCTCCTCATTAAGGTCACCATTTAAAAAATTTGTTTTTGCATTCATTTGATATATTTCAATCTTGTTAATAGTTGTAATGTCTATTAATATTTGTATAGAAATTATTCTTAACACATGTGATTATGTGTCTAAAAAGTCCACATATTCTTGTTGTCTAAAACCTTTTATAAAAAATCTAAATTTACTTGTCAATAATGTCATTGATTTTCATCTTTCTTTTGAAAACCCATTTATAGCCCAATAGTTTACTTCTAAAAGGAAAATCTAATAGTTTTCATACATGATTATTCATAATTAATTTAATTTTTTTATTGACTATCTTTTTAATAAGAAACTTCTAGACAAAATATTGATTCCGAGTAGGTTCAAAATTCATTTTGAAAAGAGTATATTAAAAAATTAGGACCAAATATTTTGGTCATTTTTTTTCTCCTTTTCTCCTTCTAAAATGAACTTCATCATCTTCTTATTAATAATTACTTGATTTAGCCCCAATCATTCTTTAAAATAAATGATTTTCTTGTTTTTCATTCCATAAAAACACATTTTTAAAGAATATAGCATTCATTGATTCTATAATAGTATTAAAATGAATATCCTCAATATTTGATTTATATACAAGAAATTGACATGCACTACTATTATATGCATATCCGATAAATACTTAATCCATAGTCTTAAATCCTATTTTGATCTTTTTAGGATTTGGTATTGTTACTTTTATAAGATACCCCCAAACTTTGAGGCATGTGCAAAAAGATCTTATACCTTTTCATTATTCATACGATGTTTTATCTAACTTTTTTAGGGCATTTTATTAATTATATTATTGGTAGTTAGAATTGCCTATCCCACAAGTTTGGAGGTGCTCCTAATCTTATCAATATTACATTCATCATTTAAGTTTTGCAATGTTATTTTGTTGTAGTAAATAAAGAGAGGTAAATTAGTGGATAATAATATTTTGAAAATAGAATTCATCAAATGATGCTTTATATTTTTTACCTCTATCACTTATTATTACCTTTATTTTTTTTTATCTCAAATTCTACAATGTTATTTTGTTTAATTCTCCATAGATTAGACTCAAGTTCAAATTTTAGTTGGTAAAAAATGATATTTTATGGCCTAAAATATTATTTTACAATAAACTCACACTCAAACCCGAGTACAAGTTGGGCGAGGCTAACACACATTTGTGTTTGTCAAAATATTATTTTCTAATAAACTCATAATGAAACTCGAGCACGAGGCAGGTTGGGTCGACGCACACGTGTGTGTGAGTGTAATCCTAAAGCCAACTTTAGCTATTATCTCTTCTCTTTAAAAGCTTGGATGCCATTTGAATTCAATTTTAAGTTTTCAACTACCCATTTTATAAATACCAAGAAAATTTTGCATTTTTCCTATATTGGATAAAATTATTTTAAAAAGTTTTGAGTTTTATCAAAACATGTCAACCAAGAGTGTTTTTAGATTAATTTTTCATTCACCTATAATTTGTTAAAAAATATTAATATTTTATTTTAGAGAACTTATTTTGAAGATTAAATTCCAATAAGATTTTAACCTAAAAAGTGAGTGAACTCCATTTTTAATTTGACATCAAATAGGATAATACTTAGATATATTTAATTTTTTAAGAACATTTTACTTACTAAATGACATAGCTTTTGTCACAAGAAAAAAAATAATTCAAATAACGGTACATAGAACTTACATATTTAGAGCTTGTTTAGGAGTGTGATTGCTATTGTTTTTCAAAGTATCTTTTCACTAAAAAATATATTTAAATAATATTTTTTAAATTATTTTTGATATTAGCGTATCAAAATAATCTAAAAACACAAAAAATATATTAATTTAAAGCAAAGAAAAAAATAAATAAAATTTATTTAAAAAAAAAATACTTTTAAAACACAAAAACAAACAGGGCCTAATGAAATAATTATAACAATGAAATTTCATAACACTTAATATAGAATTTTAGAAAAGAAATTAAGTATCTCTAACATTATTCTATCATGTAATATGTTTCTTTTAGTTTGAAATCAAGGATTTGCGAATCCTTGTATGTTCACCTCTAAAGCACTAAATTTATTATGGTAAGTGTAATATTAAATGAATTTATTATGGTAAGTGTAATATTAAATGATAAAGTTTCCCCTGGATGATTTTAAAAAACTTTCTTCCATAATTGATGTCAAGATAATATTTTAATAACGAGTTTATTATATTTATAGATATAAATTTGTTCTAGGATTATATGGATACAACAACAATAGAGGAATAAGTTTGTAGTTAGAAATTCATCATATAGAAACAAATGAAAGAGAAATTATTTTTCAATTAATATTTCTTATACAAAAATTTAAAATTAATAGATTGAAGTTGATGTTTAAAATTATTATATACTTAAACTAAAAAAAAGAAGATTTAAAAGTTTTGATTAGACAACTATGAGATTGTAGTAGGCTAAGGTTTTGTTTGGAATTGTGTTCTATAACTCGGGTTGATGACTAAAGCTATTAAGTTCTATACTTCAGCTAAATTAAGAGGTTCAACACAAAATAAGTTTAATTTTGAAGGATGTCATTAATAAATTTAATGTTTTAAAATATTTTTAAATGTATAATATCTAATAAAGAGCATAAAAAAACCGAGGCAATAACAAATCAATTTAATATTAAAGGATGAAATAAATTAATTTAATCTAATTTTAAAAAAAATTCTTTTTAGAAGAGATGGATCTAGCAAAGTCCCACACAAAAAAAAAAATATATATACCAAAATAGCTTGTGTTTCTTTAAAAAGATCAAAACAATCCTACTAAAAGTAAAAAAAAAAAATATTGGATGATGAAATAAAGGAAACCAGGCATACCTCCTAAGAGGAAACCCAGGCATACCTCCTAAGCCAATAAAATAAAAAAAAAGTATATTGGATGATGAAACAAAGGAAACCAGGCATACCTCCTAAGAGGAAACTCAGGCATACCTCCTAAGTCAATATTAATATTCCAAGCTTGCAATCTGTTAAGGTCCAAATTCAAGCTTAATCATGAAGTTTTACATTTAATAAATTTAATGTTGATGGATGAAATCATAAAATAAAATTAAACTAATTTTTTAATTTAAAATTTAATAGGAAAAAAACTCATGGAGAATGAAATCAAAAAACAAACTAATTCTATATAAAAAAATTTAAACAAAGTTAAATAGAAAATAAAAGAATGAAGACAAAATTGGATAAAATAAATTAATTTAATCCAATTTAAAAAAAATTCTTTTAAAAGAGATAGATCTAACAAAGAAAAAAAACTTGATGAAACTTGTGTTACTTTAGAAAAATAAAAAAAGTACTATTAAAAGTAAAAACAAACACAAATGATGAAACCAAAATAAAAAGATAAAAAAAAAAATGCAAAAGGCCAAGCAAACTTGGGTAAATCTCGTAACCCCAGATTAATATCTAAAGCCTGGAACCCATTAAGCTCTAAGTTCAAGCTAAATCAAGAGGGTTAACACCTGTTAAATTTAATGTTAAAAAATAAAATTATAAAATAAAACAAATCTAAAAAAGGTTATATTTTAAAAATTTGAGATGAAAAAACCCCCAAGGAGAATGAAATAAAAAAATACACTAATTCTATAAATCATTTTAGATTAAATAAATAGAAATTAAAAAAATGATGACTCAATTAAACATATGAAAAAATCCATGGAGGATGAAATTAAAAAAAATCTTTTTAAATTATTTCAAATAAGAAAAATATTAACCACAAGATCAAGGATGAAATCTAAAGTAAAAAAATAATTGAAGGGTTAAATTGAATTTTTTAAGGATTAAATCTGAAAGATAAAGAAATTCATAAGAAATGTAATTGAAAATAGTTGTTTTTTATGAATTACTAACATTAATAAAAAATCAGACACTAAGTATGAAGAAAAAACTAATTAAAGAATTGCATTAATTTTTTTATGGACAATGCACTTTCCTATGATAAGAGAAAAAAATAAGTAAAAAAATGATTTTCGATGGCCAACCAAAAATGAAGAAAAAATTATGTCAAGCCCCCTCTATTCCTAACCAATTCAGTAATGCAAATTGACTCTCTGAGAATAAAAAAACAGTCTTAAAAGCAACATCTCTCAATTATGTGAAAAAGACCTTAAATATTATTATAATATTCCAATCAATGGTATAATAAATTTAAAAACACAGTAAAAACTTTTTTTTTTTAATTTTTTGTATAATAAAAATGCTTTAGGTTTAGTGCTAAAATCTCGGTATAATACACACAAGTAAATATTGTGAAAAGGTACTTATTATGTAATTTGTTGGTAAATAAATTATTTTACTTTGTGGTTATAAACTTATAATTAATATAATATGCAGGTGTTTATAGACATAATTATTTATATAAAAGAAATTATTTAAGAATTCATATATCAAATATCAAAAATCGCATTCATATAAATTACATTTGCACCAATTATATTAAAGCAAAACGTCTCAAAATCGTATACCAAACACAAAAAATCTTTTTTTAGAAATTGAGTTTTCATTATCTAAAAAATCAAATACCAAATGACGCCTGTAGAATGATTTTAGATTCCAAAAGTATTCATAGGATGGGCACCCAATTAATTAAAGAGTGATTGGCTGGAATTAATATCAGTATACCCACACAAAAAATTAAAAAGAAAAAAATCTTAAATATCCCATAAAAATAACAATTTTAGTAGTATTTAAAAAAATTATTTAAGATTGTGGTAATGGTTATTTTTTATTTAAAAATATATTAAAATAATATTTTTTTATTTTTTAAAATTTATTTTTAACTTTACTAAATAATAACAATAAAAAAAATTTATTTTAAAGCAATAAAATAAATTCAAAGATTTTTAAAATCATTTTTTGAATATAAAAACAAATGCACTCCAAATGAGCTGGCGAATGGTGATTGATGACCCGGTACCCAATCCTATACTGCCAACGTAATCAAGGGCTCCCTCGCAGCTTGCACAATCATCCTCACAATATTTATTTACACTCGTATTTTTAAGCGCCTAATACAGTCCACGACAGAAAATGGCAACCAGCACCACCAATCCTGCTTGGGGGGGATGGGCTTGACTTTCAGAGATTGCCTGGTGTGGTCAAAACTTAAGTGGGCTACTCTCAGGGTCACGTCCCTGATCCCACTTACAAGCTGGTATGCACCAACACCACCAACCACGTTGAAGTTGTTCTTGTCCAATTTGACCCGGAAGTTTGCCCATATACCGACATCCTCTCTCTTTTCTGGTCTTAGTTGACTTTGCTGGCAAATTTCCGATGGATTGATGTTTTGGTTTGATTTTACAGGGTGGTGATGTTGGTACACAGTGTAGATCAGGGATTTACTACTACAATGAGGCCCAAGCTAAGTTAGCCCAGGAATCAAAGGAAGCTAAGCAGTTGGAATTGAAGGATAGCAAGGTTGTGACAGAAATTCTGCCAGCAAAGAGATTTTACAGAGCTGAAGAGTACCATCAGCAGTATCTGGCGAAATGTGGAGGTCAAGGTGTTAAACAGTCTGCTGAAAAATGTTGCAATGACCCTATTAGATGCTATGGTTGAACCTTTTTCTTTTATATATATAAAAAACATCCTTTTGATGAATAATATAAGAATTACACTACTGGGGCTATTTTGAATGTGAAAAATTCATTTTGTTTCAAATCGGATTCCACATTTCAAACTGGTCTTGATAGTTTGGTTTCACTTTACTAGGTTGTCCTGTCCGCTTGCACCACGTATCAATATGCTTATTGTGTACTGTATTCTAAAGACATCCTAGTAACAATGAACCTCCCTTTTTTTTGTTTCATATACCGTGTTTCATTTACGCAGACAAGGTATTTTGGAAATATTTATTCATCCCTGACCAGTAAATGGATTTGAAGCAGGTACATCGTTAACAAAAGATTGTATTTGTTCAAGAGACCTGAAAGTTTCAAAACTTGATACAGTATAAGCAACATGAAATGACAGCAAACTGAAGTCAATGGTATATGTGTAGTTTAGAGTTCGTCCTTGGGAGAATCTGTGGGTCCTATAGGATTGTTTGAGGATTTCTTGATAGGATAAGAAGCCTCCATTGCGATACCACAGAGTCCCCTTCGGTCAGCGATGCCACGCTGCATCCTGATGTAGCCTTTCTCTCCCCATTCAGGTCCCCAGGAATTCCTCACAATCCAGTACCTAGTGCCATCAACTGTTGTTCCATAGCCTACAATTGCAACTCCATGATCCAGCTCTTTTCCACACTCTCCAGTAAATACACCCTGCGTTGATATTGATACTCAATTTGTAAATGTTTAATCACAAATGCCTTGGCATTTTGAATTTTGAATTTCTCATTGTCTTGTCTGGTGGCAATTCCTTCTTTAAATTGTCTAGTTTTCAGGAACTTTTCCGAAATTAATTTACCTCTGAGTAGAACTGGAAATCTGAACCTCCAGCGTCTATGGCAACAGATACGGGTTGGTTTGCAACAGCTTTTAGTAATGCATTCTCATTATTACGAGGCACATCCTCATGTCCATCAATAGACACTGCTGGCTGGTTTGCCTGCAAAAAACATAAAAAAGAGTAATACTTTGTGTTGATCATGCTCGAGCAATTTACTACTTCCACCAACCATATTAGTTGAATGTGGAAAAACACCTTGTTAGCATCACAGTGTCCATCTTGAGCACGGTAAGGATAATTAGCTTCCGTTGTTATGCCCTTCTGTTTCGTAATGAACTCAAAAGCATAATCCATTAGCCCTCCATTACATCCATGGTTTTCCCCAGTGTTACAGTCCACCAACTCCTGCTCAGACAAAGATATCAACTTATTTGTCTTAATAAAGTTAATACCTTCAACAGCTACAATTGTCGAAAATGCCCAGCAACTTCCTGCACCACATTGGAAACATTTTACAATTAAACAGCGATCAATTGTTCTACCCCTCATTTCTGACAGTGCTATGTTCAGAAGGGAGGTAACCCCTATTTTTGCTTAATCAAAGCACGAGTATATTCCCTTGTACATGTTTGTTGCATGCCTGAACGAGCTAAAGAAGGGAAATACTAGGGTGAATCTATATTCATGTGAGAAATGAAAAATAAGCCTTACCGCATTTGCCCTGGTCCTTAACAGTAGTGACGGCGCCTTTCTTCCTCCAATCAATAGAGGCTGGTACTTTGTCTATGTTCCCGTACATGAAGCTTCCATTTCCCAGCGGTGCTCCCCGAAACATAGTATGATGCTTAACTTTAGAGCTAGCATAAGCGGTCCTGAATTCATGGTTAGTCATGTCTGCAAACTCATTCAACTTCAACTTATAAGGCTTATCCATCTTGTTAGTATTTTGAACATGCAAGACATTAGCCCTGAACACATTGAAACGCTTGCGTTTCTCGTCAAGACTCGTAGAAACAGTGTGGTGGCTCCTCCACTTCTCATACAAATCCCACAAACTTTCCTCGGATTCTAAATCCTTTTCATGGAAATCAAAACTCTCGGTGAATCCTAAAACCAAAGCTAAATAAAGAGCAACAAATACGAGTTTCTTCATTTTCGTTTATTTGCTAGACTAGAACTCAACACAAGATGGGAAATAATTAGGAACTAATGATGGCTTTATATAGAGAAACGAAAGGAGAGGAATGATGGAAGATAAGTAGAACAAACCAGAATAGAAAAAAATAAAAATGAAGAAGTTACAAGTTCCTTAAGGGCATCAATTATCTGTATATAATAATCGATCAATGTACAAGAATCACCATATATAGTTTCAGTTCTTTCCATTGATATTGAAGGAATTTTATCAGGTTTTTGTCATCATATTGAAAGTGTCATCTCTAGCTACGTCATTCCCTCTCCATTTCTTTATCAGGGTTCTTTAGAGAAGTTGAAGTGTTGAAAAGATATGAAATTGAGTGAAGTATTCTTTAAATGAGGGAAACGGTAGCTGATAGGAGTACTGGTTGCTTGTAACTCTTATTTTCTTCATTTTTAAGAACCAACCTGTCCTCTTGTATCTTGCCTAGGAATCTTTCAGCTTTCATTTCTTATCTAACAAGTTATCAAGTCAAATTAACATTTGAAAGCACGAAGAAATTTTCAAAACTTGAAGAACAAGGATGCCATTTCATTGTCTCGGCCATCTGGGAAATGAATTGTCAGTGAACTTAGCTCGGCCCAATTCCTGTACATGTGAGAAGTTGCAGCAGATTGGATAAAGGGATGCTGGATCTCCAATTAGAAATTACAGAAAATTCCTGTCCTTTGTTTACTGTCTGGAGAACATATGATTAGGAATTAAGAAATTCAATCATGGAGCACTACTCTTCCTCTAAAGGCTTTAACTCGCATTTCTGGCTGCTTTACAGTGAATTCATTCGTTGACTCGCCAGGGAAACATACAACCATGAAACTAAGCTGATTCCATGTGCATTGTTAGACTGACCAGGGAAACATACAACCATGACCATTGTTAGATTGAAATTTGAAAGTGGTAGCTTTAGGCTCCAGTCATTTCTATGTGCATCAGAATTCAGATTTCTCTTTTTCTCCGCCATAGAGAGTACATGCTATAAGCATCCTCCTACAGCTACCCAACTAACATCATCCATAAGCCGATTCGGAACACTGTAGTTATCTGTCATTCAATTAAATCATTCTCGTATACTGAAATGATGCCCCCTTTTAGCATAAATGTGAAATTTCAACTTTTTAGGTGAAAAGAATTAGTCCGAAATTTTAATTTTTTTAATCTCAGATGTCATGTCCTTATACAATGCTGATAAATAATGATGCCCGTTTAACATGTCCTGAAGCAACTTGCCGATAGAGAAATCATAAATCGTGATTCTTTGCCTTGTAAAGCGGGCAGCTGCTGTTATTTGGGAGAAAGCAAAATGCAATGGTTGACAGCTTTGTTGGGTTCTTTAACGACAAGGCAAATACTCCTGACATTGCCTTGGATGGTTTAGGACTTGATTGACTTGCTTTCCTTGTTTTGTTTCAAGTTTCTTAAGTTCTGCAACTGTGAAGTTTTTCAAAAATTTATTCTTCAATATATAGTATAACATTTTAAGAAATTACATCATGATCAAATTAGGGATACGTTATTTTTAAGACGCAAATCTGATACAGCAGGAAAAACAACTGAAATGGATAGCAATTCTGAAACCAATGATATTGCTTATGTAGTTTAGAGTTCATCCTTGGGGGAAGATTTGGTTCCTGAAGGATTAGTTGAGGAGTTTTTGATAGGATATGAAGCCTCCATAGCAATACCACAGAGTCCTTCCTTGTCAGAGATGCCTCGCTGCATCCTGATGTAACCTTTCTCTCCCCATTCAGGTCCCCAGGAATTTCTAACAATCCAGTACTTAGTTCCATCAAGAGTTGTTCCATAGCCCACAACTGCCACTCCATGATCCAGCTCGGTTCTGCACTCTCCAGTGAAGACACCCTGCATTTCCCATTAAGCTTGTAAATAATTTTGTTTCAAATGCTAGTCGTTTGACAGACTACTCAAATGAACATTCTATTCATCATCTTTGCAAAGTGAGAATTCTCGGATTAAGGCTAAATTCACAAAGTATTTCAGTAACTTTCTGAAATTTACCTCGGAGTAGAACTGGAAATCTGAACCCCCAGCATCTATGGCTACAGATACTGGTTGGTTTGCAGCAGCTTTCAGTAATGCATCCTCATCATTTTCAGGAACTTTCTCATACCCATCAATAGACACTGCCGGGTTGTTTTCCTGTAAAAAATGGAGTCTTACTTTTATGTTATGCTGATCGTAATTTAGCATTGATTAGTTAATAAATTAAATTTAGTAACGTAAATGTAATAAGAAATGAAACCTTTGCAGCATCACAGTGTCCATCTTTAGCTTTATAAGGATAAATAGACTCTGTTGTTATGCCTCCCTTTTTCTTAATGAACTCAAAAGCATATTCCATTAGCCCTCCATTACATCCTTGATTTTCTGTAGTGTCACAATCCACCAACTCTTGCTCAGACAAAGATACTAGCTTATTTGTCTTAATATAATTAATACCCTCAACTGCAACTATGGTTGAAAACGCCCAGCAACTTCCTGTACCACATTGAAAAGGATATAAGAATTAAATTGCAAGCAATCCAAGCAAGCAAGGAAGGATGAAAATTTGCAGTGCTGTTTTTTGATAGGTCTATGCTCAAATGGGATGCAGCCTTTCTTTCTTAATCAAATATCATGCATGTTGCTTTGTGATGAATGAACGAATTGTAGAATTGAAAAAATAAGGTAAACCTTCATTGTAAGAAATGAAACGTGAGCCTTACCACATTGACCCTGGTCCTTAACAGCAGTCACAGCACCCTTCTTTCTCCAGTCAACAGATGTTGGGACTTTGTCTACCTTCCCATACATGAAGCTCCCATTTCCTCGTGGTGTCCCGCGGAACATCCTATGATGTTTAACCTTTGATCCAGCATATACAGACCTGAATTCATGGTTAGTCATGTCTGCAAACTTGTTCAATTTCAACTTATAGGGCTTACCCATCTTGTTAGTTTTGTGAACATGCATAACATTTTCCTTGAACACATTGAAACGTTTGTGTTTCTCATCAAGACTTGTTGAAACGGTATGATGGCTCCTCCATCTCTCATACAAGTCCCACAAACTTTCCTCAGATTCCAAATCTTTTTCATGAAAATCCAAACTCTCAGTGATACCTAAAACCAAGGCTAAAGAAAGAGCAACAACTAAGAATTTCTTCATTTCCATTTGCTAAGCTAGAACTCAACACAAGATGGGGAATAAAGAACTACTATTGGTTGCTTTATATAGAGAAATGAAACAATAGTGGAAGATATGTAGATCAAGTTGTAGAATAGAACAAAGGATCATTAATTAATGATGTTACAAGTTCCTTATGGGCATCAACTATTTATGTATAATAATGGAGGAGGATATGGAGATAGTGTTTGAGAAATATGGAAAACAAACTCTCTGTGTACAAATGGAGTGATTTCAACTAAACAAGAAAGTCCAAATATAAGTGAGTTTGGTTCACATGTATATATCAGAAGGAAGGATACAAGTAGTTCCTGAGCAGTTAATAACATAAAAAACTTGTGGGCTTAGGGCATTTTACAGGATGATCCTTACATGCAGAACACGCTATCGCACCATGTTATGATATAAGAAGGAGAGGAGAAGAGAAAACGGGTGGTGACGACTGATTTTCTAAAATGGTTGCGTCCATGGAAGCTTTTGAGCCACGATAGTTTTGCAAATTGGGAAATAAAGTTGCCTGCAACTGTTTCGGCTTTAACTGAATCCACTGATCATAAAAGCCTTTGAAATGGTTTGGTAGAAAAACTGTAAAGGGATTGAGTGAATTCTGCAAGAAAAATCTATTTTCAGACCCAACGAAACATCAGGTCGGAGAACTCTCTCCAGATTATGGCACTGAGCCACGTTTATTGCACATGTGTGCCCACCGGCTACTGCCAAACTTTCCCACAAATTGAGGTTAAAAGTGGATGAAATGTTCTTTAATTACCACCAACGTGACCATTCAGTATCTACCTTTTGCGTTTTTTTTTTGGTTGTTGTGGGATTATTTATTGAAGGATCAATTATCCTCAGGTAGTTTGCTGATGTAGTAGTAAGACAATGAATCAATTGAAAAATCCAATTTCTTTAAACTGAAAATGACTGGATTTTTTGTCAAGGCATTGCTTGTAGGACTACACTAGCGTAGGGTGTTGGGTACTTATCCCTTCCACGGTTACAGCTCAAACCACACTATATTATCACTTCCGCGGTCACGAAAACATCCATGAAGCTTAGCTGTCGTTGGATTTTCAGCATTTTTCAAAAGCTAGTCATCCCTTCTTGAAATGACAAAAGATTTTGATATAATATCACTTATGAGCTAGAAGACGGACATGATTTTCTGCTCGAACTAAAGGTGTTGCGTGCCTTGTTCATCTTATAAGAAATCATGGCAGGCATGAACCCCAGTTCAAATGATTAACGATCCTAAAGTACGGCTCAATTCTTGAGGACATGTAAATAATTAAGGAAATCCAAAATACCAAGGCTGGGCTGTTCCTTCGTCATCTATCATCAATATATCCAAGCTCGGCAGTTTCTCTGCCATCTATTAACATGGCAAGCCGGGAGTAGGCCAGGTAATACAAGTAGAACCATAGCAAGAAACCTTTCTTGTAGCATTATAGTTTGATTGATTGATCCGGTACACCCCGAGCAAGTATAGAAGCATTGGTAAAGCAAACTGGAAGAAGAAATTAGTTAACAACGAACAATCTCTAGAAGTTGGCCGGAGAGAAATACCAGTTCACAAACATACTGGTAACTTGGCCTGGAGTTGAAGGAAAAAAAGAGAGCATGCAAATGCTTGTGGTCATCTTATTAACTTCATTAGATAACAGCATTGGGCTTCTTCAATCTACAAGGTGGCAACGGAGGTCTGTTTCCAGGAAGAACATTATGGTTTTGTGACTGCAAACGGGTAAAGGAAGAGAATGGCAGAATACAGGACCACCAACAGACCTGCATGTTAACTCCTTTAATTTATCGTGGGACTTCAATTATCAGCCATATAAATGCTTTACAGGAAGATAACTAACAACGGTTCACTGAAACTACTGACTTTTGCAGAATCATCCCAGACAATTGATCATGCTGTTTTTAGCATACCATATCTATGAAACCTCAACTCTTATATCCCCAACTCCCAATTAAGTCCATATAGCACGGGCAATCTGTGCTTTACAATAATTGCAGTTGCAGGTTCAAAAGAATTAAAGACATGATGAAGCTGAAATCACATCAAGCAGTCTAGCTAATGCAATGGCTATATTCCTCTTCTCTCTTTAGTGCCAAAGAGTACTGAAATGGCCTTATTAATTATTATCTCTTATAGTATGACTAATTAAGGCATGCAACTCTTTCAATAATAGCAGCTATTACTTCAACAAACAATTAAACATAGAGTACTGAAATGGCCTTATTAATTATTATCTCTTATGGTATGATTAATTAAGGCATGCAACTCTTTCAATAATAGCAGCTATTACTTCAACAAACAATTAAACAATTTCCATATGTCGTCCATCAAAAAAGAAGAATAAGCAACAAGAGATAAGAAAAGATGGCATGAACAAACTAATTTGCCAATTCATTTATTTTCAGTGACAACATTTGTAAAACTAAGCACCAACCAATTATGGTACTTTGGGGAAATGAGGGAAATTGAAATTTGACCATACAAGTAACTCATGCAATAGCATCCTTATCTCTAGCTTGTCGCAATAACTCTTCTCTGACCCTCTTGATCTCCATCTCCTTTTCAAATCTTTCTTGCTGAAAGGATGATAGACAAACCCAATTAATGGCAAGTATTTATACACAAAAACTAAAAATTCAAGTAAGAATTTGATAAAACAGTGGGTATAAAAGACACTCCCAGTAGTATGATGATGAAGATGAATAAAAAATGTTTTTAAACAGCAACACAGTTTATTTTTCTGACGACATATATTGCTCTGCATACTTTTCATAAATACTTCCAATTAAAATTTGGTCTCCGTGTCTGCAATGCTATCTACAGTTCTCAAACTTGTCATTCCTTCTCCAAGCAAATAAATCAACTCAAACAATTTAAAACCACTAAAATGATAGCTTTGACACATCCATGTGCCACCTTCTGCCTTGACAAAATCAGCTACAGGACATGAGTTATCTGTAATGTCTACAACAAGAATCGTTAACTATACCCATTGTTGTACTAAATTCCTATGTCTACTAAAAGCAGCTATTCGGATACAAGAAAAAGTTTCAAGCTTTGCAACCAGAAAATTGTCCCTCCATAATGACATACTTCAATTAGCATTCATGCTAATGTATAACAACCAGAAACTTTTAACTTATCATTAAGAAGCATATCAAACTCTGGACATCCTCTGTGAGACTAACTCATCCTCCATATAGTTCAAGGCCTGATTTATTACAATCTACATTGTCCATGGCCCAAGCAAGATCATCTTAAAGGTTTCCATTTATTTTAAGATATTTCCTATTTAAGAACCAGATGGCACAAATAAAATCTCATATAAATAATTTCAAAGCTGGCTAATCAGTAAGGAAAAAAAACCTTGAATTGACAATGATGTCCGGTAATCCACCTAATCCAAAGCCAGATATGCTTTCTTTGGTGGAAGGATAAAAATAAAGAGCACTGAAGGAGTGAAACAAAAGAATGTAGAGCAATCCTTCCCTCTAGTTGTTTAGTTATTGAGATGAGCAATGAAACAAGAAAAAAAACACAGATAAAAACACAGAAGCTCATGCCTTCCTTATACTATCCCTCCAGTTTAGATGGATTGGAAAAATGTGAACCTTGGAGGAGAGAATAGAACTTCTCCCATTTCTTGGGTGTGTATCCTCTTAACCTGATTGAATGGGTACTTCATCCCTCTAATCATTTCCCTCCCTCCCTACCCATCCATCCTGTTAAACATTGTGTGAATACATATCCATCGAAATTCATGCAACAGGATGTGGTACACAAGAATGTATAATTGCAGCTTAAAAAATGAATGAAAAGCTAGTCTTTGCCAATGAAAATCACAGTAGAACCTTTGCAATAGAAAGACACAAAGGATCAAAAGGAGAAACTTCACCTACAATCAAAACATTTCCAGATACCTTATCTATCAAAACCATAACATGCTATTCATCTTTTAAAACTTCTATAACTAAAGTAGCACTATCCTGCACTGTAAAACAATAAAGGGGAGAAAGAGGGTGCAATTTAGGACAGAAACCAAGTCCAGAATCATTTCAAAAAAATTTAGAGTTACCCTATCACCACAACAAATTAACAGATGCTCAGTGATTGATAGAGCCACTTTTTTCATAGAATATGTTTTACTTGTGGAGATTAATCAGATCAATGGTACAAAAGTGGCTGGTAACAGAAAACTAATTAACCCAAGCAGCTGTCTTGCGGGGACTGCAGCACCAAAACTTAAAGAACGCCCATAACACATTTTTCATTATTAGTCACTAATCTCAATAACGAGACTGCAAGCAATAAAATCACAATCTATTAGAAAGAAGTTGCAGAAATGCCAAAAAAGAATTACGCAAGACCATATCTTTAGTATATTTCATCAAGCCTATCATTAGAAATCTTTCAAAAACTCAAATATAGGCATGCATTGTGAAAGGAAAGGATACCCCATTGTCAACCAAATACAAAGACCCGACAATCAATAAATTGATCTCTTGTACTTCTAGCAGGTCAAGATTTCTTCTAGGAACCCAAACTTAATAGAATGTTTTCTATTAAGCTAGCTAGTAAGGATTTCAATTATCTTTCTCATTATCCCATTTCATAAATAAATCAATCAATTTCTAAGGGCATATTCAACTGTACCATCAAATTACAAAAAAAAAAAAAACCCACATACATTTTAATCAAGTAAACTATTTTCATAGTAAGAAATGAAGATTATCCAAGAACAAAGAAACAAATTTATACGATCATTAGACAAATTAGTGAAGACCCATAATAAGAAATGAGTTGGAAAGCTCCAATTCACACTTAGTTTTTGTTTTTGAAAAAGAAAAGGAACGAAGGATGTGATCAGAAACAATATTCAATTCAAACTTGAAAAAACAAGAAGGAAGTGAAGAAGAGATGAGAGACGAACCTTCTCATCCTGGCGAAGAGCATTCCAGACATGGATTTTGTCCATAGTTTGCCAAAATAAAAAGGCTCCCACTGACATGGCGAAAAAGCCGGCCACTTTCACCATCTTCGCTTAGCTTAGCTTCTCTTCGCTTCCTCCAAAGAGTCTCTGAATTGGGAATCAGATCTAATGGTGGATGGATAGACGCGGCTTGGATTCAATGGCCTATATCTTAATGATGGGACTGCACAAGATTAAGGCCCACGTGATTAGCTAATACTGTAACTCTGGCCCAATCTCACAAGACCTTCTCTTTTCTTTTTCTATTTTCCAAACAGATTTAACTTCTTCTTTTTTTCTTTTTACACAAAATAATAAAATGGAACTTCTAGCCTCTGGTCCAAATAAAAAATAGTTTTTATTTGGACCTTCAAAAATGAAAAATCAAACAGTGCATTTTCATTATTTTATATATATATATATTTTAATTATAGTTATAAAACTTAATTTGGAGTCTCAATTTTTAAAAATAATTCAAGAATGTGATTCAAGACCTGATTGTAGATTAGATGAGTTAATCAGTAAACTAGAGGATTAACATAAATTTTGAGTTTTCTTTTTATGAAAACAAAATCCCTAAACAATGTTCATAAACAATGCTCAAAGCCAGCTTAAGCTAAGGTTTACTTGTACACGAACCCTAGATCCCAACTTAATAAAAAATGCGTAAGAGTAAGAATAAGTAAAGTATATTTATTAAAAAAAACCCCAAATACAAAATGAAAATCACCTTCATTTAACAAAAAAAAAAAACCCAAATACAAAATGAAAATTATCAAACTTATATGTCAACCATACATTAAAAAAAAAAATCTTAAATATTTCTTAAATTTCACATAAAATGAATAAAATTTTATGATCCTAAACACAAACGCCTCCTTGTCCTGTAGACATTATTCAGAAGAGGAAATTATGCATGTCATCACTTGAACATCCTCTTACTTTCCAACTCTGCACAAATCAATTTCCAACAGGTTCCTTTGTGGAAATTATTAAATGCCCTTGTACTGTAATCTTAGAAACTTGAAACACAAGGACAGGTACATTAAACAGTACGAAGCACAAAACCAGTAGATCAAGAACGTTATTAGAAGAAAAAAAAGAACCTGTCGTGCTCTTTCAGCAATTGAATTCAACCAACAGAAGCATTCAGTAAGAATAAACTAATCAACTATGTCTGTACAGAAGAAGAATTTTTTGCCATATTGCTAACTTTGGGTTCCATTAACTTGATAATGGAAGTGTTCCACACTTGTTTGAAGAAATTCTCCGTGTAGACAACCTATCATATTTACAAGTGAAGACGCAAACCATCATGTCCAGTTATAGATAATTCCATTCTTGTCAGAAGAGGCTAGTGGTTTCCCAAGACCACTCCATGAACAACAAAGGACTGGAGCTGTGTGTTCCTTCAGGGTGCTTACTATATCACCTTGAGATATTGACCAAATATGCACAGATCCATCAGCTGAACCAGCAGCAACATAGTGGTCATCAGGACTGATACAGGAGCGACTCCAATTAGAAGCCACTCTGTTTCCAGTTGCTCTTAGAGTGCCACAAACTTCCAAGGACCGCATATCAAATAAGTTATGCAAGTTGTCTCTCCCACTTGTCAGTACAACACTTCCATTTCGAGACACAGATATAGACGTGACAGCAAGCGAATGTGCAGCAACTTCACTAAGTAGCTTTCCTGTCTGAATATCCCACAAACGAAGATTCCCATCAACATGGCCTGAACAGATAGTCTGTCCATCCATGCTGAAGCAAAGAGAATTGCAGTTGCTGTGGAAAATGATCGTGTTGGTGCAGAAGCCTTTTTGCAGATCCCACACTTTTATGGTACGATCATAAGCAGCACTGACAACATGACGAGTTGAAATTTTGCTGACATCAACAGCACACACTTTATCAGTGTGACCTGTGAGAGTGTGACGTACTCGCCCTGTGGTAACATCCCATACATACAAGTTGTTTGAGCTGCTAGCTGCAATGATGGATCTATTGTCATGAGTAATGGAAAGATCAAGAACAGAGCCAAGACAACCATAAAGAGTGTGACATAATGATCCTGTATTTGTATCCCACATCTTGATTGACCGGTCTTGTCCCCCACTAATCAATTTTCCAGAATTGTACTCAAACAATATAGAAGCACAGCCACCCTCATGAGCAGTGATCTTGTGCTTGCATGTAGAAGGGATCGTTGATTCAACAAAGTACTCGGCACCATCTTCATTTCGCCGGACAACTCCATCCACTTGTTGCCTAGCAAGGCTCTCTAAACCACTTGCCTTGAGCCGATCAATCATTTCTTCATAAAGTGCATTAGCCTAAGTTCATAAGGACATCTTTAGTTAACTGCATTTATACCAGCAATAAAGCAGGAAGAAAATAATTCCCACATGCATCTTCTCAGAAGCAAAAGCAAGAACTTAAAGACACTGTATGCAAACTCCACAATTTCACAGCAGATTAGATGAAGGTTGGTTCTGCAGATTGGTTTCAGCATCTTTTGCAATGCATGTTCACTCTGAATCACTCAACTTACAAAAGAGTACAACCTCTCAAGTGTCTCGTTGCATATGCAACTTTCTCTACCATGAAAATACACGAGTCCAGAGAAATGGGGAGACTTCTGTATGAAAACTTTTATACAACATCTGGAATTTCATACACAAAAAAGGAGCCAACAACCTACTGCAAATTCAATACCAGATCCAATCACAAACAAAACATATATTCTCTAGAATTTCTTAACCATCCATGGGCTTTATGAAGGAAATGATATGGAAATAAAACAATATATATACTCCCAAATGACCGCCAAAAAGGATCTTCCAGAGGAAACTACTTCAAGAAGTGTTGGTCAATTCTAAAAAAGTCAAGAAGAATTTCTTCTTCAGATTGATTTTTTTTGTCAAATACAAAAAACCCACAAAAATTCATATATAAAAAGGAGGCAAGCATATATTTCAGCAGCCACTAATGTTCTTCTAAAACAGCAAAACACTGATTGCCTGCCAAAATCTCACCCAATAGTTGATACTCATCAAAAAATGCACTGTGCATTATCAAACTATAGCAACACTGATAAGCAGCCAAGAAGATCTCAAAGTGTGCATATCAAGAATCCTAAGTTCATGGAGAGCTATTGAACATTTAATTGACTCGATGAATAAGCCATGTTCTGTGAAGCTGCACATGCAAATAATCACACAAGAGGAGGCAAGCATAGGAATGAGTCAAGTATGTTATTAGTCAAGTCAGTTAGCTAGTGTTTTGTTATTAGAATAAGTGCAGCTATTTAGTTGGAATCATTCGTAGAGTCTTGATTTCATGTAGTTGTGCTATTAAATTTAGGAAGAGCCCGTTATTTCCGTATGTATTTAAACTCTAGTAATATGCAGTAAAGGAACAAGTTGATTCAATAACAAATTGTTGTGGTTTATTCTCGCCCTAAGTAGAATCCTACTTACATATAATTACAACAGCTTTGACGGGGACCTATCAAACACTACAAAGTACCTCATTAAGGCGTTCGGCATCCTGCATCTTTTGTAGCATCCATCGATCAATCAACATCTTATTTTCAGCCTCAGCATTCTTAGCTTTGAGAGTCATCTCTTCCAATTGCGTTCTAACTGCCTGGTTCTCACTTATAACCAATTCTAATGCTTTAATCTTTTCCTCAAAATCCTCCTTCAACTGACCACACTCATCCCTGACGAAAAAACACAAGTCTAAATAACCCCACAAAGCCAAAAACATTAAAATCATCTATCTTCCTAACAGGATAAAAAACATAAGTAACAGGATAAAGAAGACAACCTTATTTGAGTAACCTCGTTTTGCAAATCAGTGATAGCTGCTTCCTTCTCTTGCAGTGAAGTCTTCGCTGCTCTCGATTCGGCCACCTCCACCACAAGTTGGTTGGATAAACGAGACTGCGCTTTGTAACATTGCTGAAGTTCTACTTCTAGATTTTCTGCTTTCTCTTTCCACTCTGATCCCTTCAATTATATACAAAAAACCAACTTGAACACGGCACTAATACTAATTAACTGCAATCTCATCATCATTATTATTAGTTTCAAGAAAAATACAATCATCAAGCCCAGAAAGAAAATTACCCCCCAAAAGAAAGCATGATTAGCGGTGAATAGCAAGTAAGAAATTAACAAAAAGAAAAAGGAATATGAAAGAAGACCTGAGAAATAATGGGCCTGGAAAGAGCAATAAAGGCAGGAGCATGAGCTCCTTCTTCCAGTAAATGCCGCTTCTTTAAAGCTTTCAACGCCTGCTTTATTGCTTCTCGACCAATCTCTTCTTGCGACCTTTAAAAAAAAATATTGGAAACCAAAATTAAGCGAAACAGTCGAGTTTTTGCTTATCTTTTTCTTCAAAAAAAGGTAGGAGGATCCGGAAGCGTAGGAGTTGCTTCTCTTTAAAAAAAAAAAAATCAAAGAAGAGAAAATTAATAAAGGAAACTGTTTTGATTTACTTACATATCGATCGACAAATTGATCGATTGGTTTTTCGTGGAATCAATTTCTTTCGGATTTTGGGGTTTGCGAGTAGAGGAGATGATAGGAGGAGCACCGCTTCTTCTCGCTTCAACTTTCAAGCAAAGAGAGATTGAAAATCAGAAAGGGTATTTCTGGAAATATAAAACTTAGAGGATGAAGAAACCAATAGGAAGGAAAGATTAAGTTCATTTTTTTCAAATGTTTTAAGGATATACTTAAAATATTTTAATAAATATTTTTTATTATTGATTTGAAGTTTATAACCTACTAATTAACCATATTTTCTCAATTTTATTTTAATTTTTTTATTAATAGACCAGTTGCTTATAAAATAATCAACTAAGGTCAACTATATCAATTTAAATTAATTTATATATAATTTAATTTTAAATCTAAATTAAATAAATAATAATAATTTCATTTTATGGAAAAACTTAATCGACCCGAGCAGACGGCAAGCCCGAAATAAAAAGATTAACGGTCAGAGACAATTATCCACGTCATGACCACTCCCTGCATCAAGACGCTATACCATACAATAAATAATTCCTAACCGTTTGTTTTTGCAAGGACTTGATATTTTTAAAAGAAATTATTTTTTTATATTTTTATTTTCATACAGTATTAAAAATAAATTTTAAAAAATAAAAAATATATATTATTTTAATATATTTCCAAAAACAATAATTTAAAAAACATCTAATATTCCATTACCGAACAAACATAATATATCAGAGAAACTCTACAATTACAGGACAGTCATTATGCAACCGTAACAAGAAGGCACA